CTTTTGTTCAAGGGGAAATCTTGGACTTGGAAGGCTAGGAAACATGACTAGGTATTATGAAGAAAGCTCTATAAAATCATAGGTGAAAAAAATGCACAAGAAATAAGAATGAACCATTCTTCACACACAGTAACTAAAACATCATATGAAACTACTGAGGAGAATATTTAAAGCAACAGGAAGCACTTTATTCAACATGTAGTTCAACATTTGACTTCATTATGGTAGGTTACTCCATCAGCAAGTTCACATGGGTTCAAAATCAACTAGCTAAGTTCTTTTGAACAAAAATCTACAAAGTGCTGCTTAGTGCAGAGGTACAGCCTGCCTCATAAAGCCCTCAACCCAAAGATTAGTAGAAGCTAGTTGTATGCTGCGAAGAAGCATTACTGTAGGTTTCCCCTTTCCCACACGCTGCCATTAGAGATAGCATCCAGGGTTAGATGAACCTCTAACTTGACCCAGTAAGCCTGACCTGCTAGACAGAGGAAGAAGCAAACATCTCTGATAGGAAAAACAAGTGTGCTGAACGATGGCTAGCTACCTGTTGGAGTTCCACAAACACTGGGCTACCTATTTTTCAAGCTACCTAGTGCTTTGCTGTTGAAGATAAAATGGGAAGTAACCAAATAGTCCTGAGTGATACAGTGAAATTACCAAAAAGTGTGGGGAAGGAGAAGGAAGAAAAGATGCAGAGTAAATACGAAAGATGACTGGGGAGGAGTAAAATCAAAACTCAAATTCTAAGAGCATGACACTTTAGAAAGCACAATTAAATACACTCAGACATATTAAAAAGGAACAACAGCTGACTCATCACTAGAAAACGAAATGTCCATGGCTTTTGCAAGAGCCCAAACAAAGTTTCAAAGCCATGAAACACTAGAAACTTATGACAAAAATTTAAGTTCATCATATAAGACACTAAAACCGGTTCATTCTCTGATAGATATCAATGGCACTGGAACAGGTTGCCCAGAGAAGCTGTGACTGCCCCATCCCTGGAAGTGTTCAAGGTCAGGTTGGATGGGGCTTTGAGCAACCCGGTCTGGTGGAAGGTGTCCCTGCCCACGGCAAGGGGGTTGGAACTGGATGGGCTTTAAGGTCCATTTCGACCAAACCATTTCATGATTCTATGACATGATAGACATCTCCACAATTTAAGCACTTCATGTTGTCTTCTTTCATTTAAGGTCTCACCCACATCACAGAAAATACAAAAGGAATTTTGAGGCCTTACCTGTATGTAGACGAATGTGAACTTTTAAACTCCCTGAGGTGGAAAAGCATTTCATACAAAATTGGCACTTGAAAGCTTTAATGCCAGTATGTGTTTTTATGTGTGCCGTGAGAGTACTCTTAACGGCAAAGGCGCGGAAACACTGGGGACACTTGAACGGCTTCTCATGGGTATGAATGCGAATGTGGCGCACTAGATCACTTGGTTTTTTAAATTCTTTGGAGCAATATGGACAAACATGCCACCTTATCCCATTTTCTTCACGTATAGAACCTAAAATAAGGAACATCAAAATGAATGTGTTTGAAAGATTTTAACAGTTCTTTAAAAATTCCACTGCATTAACACCATTATACAGAGCAATCAAAACACAAAAACATTTTGTGAAATAGATGCCATTACAACACACTTTGTAGACAATTAAGTGATAATTTCTATCAGATACATTCTACTTCACAAAAATAGTGATGGGCTGGAATGACAAAAACAAAACCCAAGAGAATCCTGTTGTAATTCAAACATTTTTATGCTACTGAAAAGAAGGAGGTAAAAAAAAAAAAGAAAAAAGCTAATAAATGTCTGACTTCACAGAATAGAAAGAATGCAGTTTGTATGCCTCTTAAAAATACAGAATGTGGTTGTGATGCAATATAATATAGCAGTTAACTTACAAATACCATAGCTAACACAAAATTATCCAACAATGAATATAACTCCTCAATCATAACCACACCAAATTATTTTAAGTACTAAACACCTATCTAACTGGAGGAGATACTTTATAAGGCCCTCTCTTCTGCAAATTCAGACTTAAATTACATTATTTAAATTTTTAAAGGAGGAAAAATTCTATAAAAGTCCTTCTGAAAGATTTACAATTTAAGGCTACTTTTTCACAGAAGTTGTTCTATGATCCAGGAACCCTAAGCTCTGTCCTGAAGGAGCAGCATACCTTTTCTCAACAAAAATGACGAAAGAAGCTTCTAAATCCTATCAGGGTTTTTTATTCATATATGTTGTTCAATATCAGATATTCCCTTCTTTAAATTGGTTCACATAGTGTTTTTTTTCTGTAAACCATGTCAATACAGTGGGGTTATGTTATCAAAAAATAAAGGCGGTTGTGTTTGACTGTACAGCAGTAACCTTTTATTTTTATTTACAGTCAGAGTTAGAGAGTTGTTATCGTTACAAGCAAGAAACAAAATAGTTCTTATCACCAGAGGAAAAAGTTAATGTTGATTTTTAGCACAGTTATGCTGGACAAGATGAGTTTTCAACTTTGGATCAATTTCTGCATCCCTTGCAAAGAAAAAGCAAGATTAATGTATCTATGAAGTTAGTATGGACAGAGCTCAATGACTGCTTATTATAGAGCTGTCTCCACCAGGCCAGCCATTAAAGTATGATGGCTATACTTGGAACAAACTGCTTCTAGCAACCTTAAAGCTTGAGCAACTTTAACACTAAAGCTGTGCGTTTAAGCACACAGAGACAAAATCCAGACTTGCATACACCCAACACAGAAAGGAGGTGAAATATTAACGCATTTATCATGACAATATCAAACCAGTACTGTCATTCCAAACACAGCTGGCAAAGTATTATCCACAATGCCAACCTTCATCCTTCCCTGCACGGCCTAGATCAGCGAAGATCTGCACGAGGCAGCAGCATGCACTTCTGCCTCTGCAAGGTCTCACTTCCAAAGAGGAAGAATAGAGATTGCAAGAACCCTCGGCTCCAGGACACGCCATGAAATCCCAATCCTCCTCAGAGAAGGATGATGGGGAAAAGAGGGAAAAATATTTATATTCTTTCTTTTTTGTCCGCCTCCAAAAACTCCACTGATCTAAATCCAGAAGATTTAAACAGTGTAACTTCACTTAATGCCATTTTGACGCATTTTAGTATCAGTATAATGAAAGTTCTAAATGCTACTTATACATACACTGTGCTTTAGATAAAAGTAGATGAAGATCATAACTGATCCACAATATGTTTTGGGAAATCCCTTTATAAAGCCATCGACACCCCCACAAATACTGTAGTCCTTACAGTACAAAGAGTAACAAGCAGTGGCAACATTACCGGGCAAAAATGGTGATTTTTTCTTAATAACCTTTTTTTCTTTTTTATCCAGTTTATCTGTACTCTCTTGCTCCTTATCTTGCTCTGCATTATTAGAGTCAACTTGATGATTTGAGAGAGTCTGGACGTCTGGATTCTGATCCTGAGCCCCAGGGGTCTTAGCCTGGCTGCAGTCAGTAGAATGGCCAGAGACGGGAATCGAAGACAATCCACTGTTCTCTAAAGCTTGCTAAAAGAGAACAAAAAACTTCTACATTAAGAAAGAAACATTCCACAGTTGCTCAAACTTTTCTCAAACACATACTTGGAAGATACAAGCAAATATAATTAAAAGAATTAACTGTCTCATGCTCCCAGAATTTCAGTTGGATTTTAAACTTGCAGAAACTCTCACACAACACTGACTTCTGATTGTCTGTGAGATTTTACGTTGGATTTGCTGCTCTAATACATGTGCCAACAACTGCCTTTTTTCTGAAAAGCACCAACTGTTTCTATAAAATCAAGCACTTGCCAGGAATATATAGCTACTCTTATGCCTGCTACATGAGAGAATAGCTCCCCATAAAAGATCAAATTTGAAGCCCACAATCTTGTGGGGAAGCCATACATGATATAAAGGAAAACGAAGAATGCTAAACCAAAGAAAGGCTAGGAAAAGCTCCAAAGTCTCTCTTAACAAACCAGTGATAACCATCAGATCGAGGCAAGAGCTATGCACTCGTTTTTATGTACACCTGGAAGGGACTGGAGTGTACCTTTATGGCTACTATTGTGCCTGAAAAGGCTCTGGACCAAAGACCTCAAACGCACATTTAAGTAGGAGCGTGCAGATATTTGACTGCTTGGAAGAAAACTCTATTTTATTTTTACTTTGTACAACAATATGGCTAATGATGCTTATACAGTAAATTAAAGAACCAACCTCAAAGACTGATTTTTTTTTTTTTAATAGCTATCACAACAATAGTTATACTTTGTGTTGTAATTTGGTGCAACTACACATCACATTCCCGATATTAGAGAACTCAGCACAGGTAACATGGTGAACCAGCACATAGCTACATGTAACATTCGAGTCTTCCAAAAATAAATTTAAATGGTACTTAAAAGACTAGAGATTAAAAAAATAGCTTAAAGGTTAGCAGGCTACCACCAATACTAAAGCAGCATATTCCCTGTCCTGTTCTATTATGCAATGGAGGCTGCAGAACAAGCACAGATAGATGACTTACTGTCTGTATCTCTTCGGTTACATAGCATCTCCTACTGCCAGTATCAAGGACAGAATAATGGGTTAGATAAAACATTGGTCTGACCCAGGAAGAAATTTTATTTGCACCAGTAGGAAATATTCAAATAGCCCTTATTAATTAGAACAGGATAAAGGCCCCGTATACATTCTCATTTTTTAAACAGATAAAAATATTGTTCTCGCCTCTTAAATGTCATCATGTTTTAAACACAGCATAACTTAAGGACGTACCACAAGCTACTTTATGCAACAGGAAAAAAAAAAGGCAAAGCGATCAATAAAATGTCCATGTTTGGGTGTGTACGCTTAAAGCTTTCTTCTAGGTTATGTAATCAATACTTATAACCTTGCTTTTGTAAAATTATACAAAAAGATATCTTAGGGCATTCCATACTCACTCAGTAGATCTTTACAATTCTTTCTTGACTGATAAATCATTTGGAAATGCAGAAGGAATGCTATCATTGAAAATACCGAGAACAAATTTCACTAAAATAAAAATGAGAAAGAAACCACTGAAACGTAAAGCTCTTCTCACACACAGCTCTTACCTGCAAAATGTCTCTATTTATTCCCACTGCAATGTTGAGTTGTTGACCAGGTTGTTGAGGTTGGTTATTTTCTACAGGACCTGGTTCTGATAACTCAAGGAGCTGCTGGATGACATCAGTTACAGCCTGCTGACCCTGATGAGCAGTAGCTGAAGACACCTGGTTTTCTGTCTGTTGAAGAAGTGGAGACCGAAAATGTGTGGCCTGAAATACACAGCAATACATTTGTAAAGGAAGATGAAAAGTATATACGAATTAATCTGTTGAGCTCCCTTATCTGAAAAGTCTGTTAACTGTCCACTAAAAGGATGTCCACTTATATAAGACATAAAGATTATACAGAGCTGTCATTCAAGGTCTGCTCACTCCACTTAAGAATTGCTTCTGTATATCCCTTTTCCGGAGTTTTTCCCAAGCTGCATAACTGTAAGCTTACAGCTTGAATTAAGTTTATCGTAACTACTGAATCTTCAACCAGTTTACAAAACACAGGGATCAATTCCTGAATTCTACGTGTAAAGGCCACATTAAAAAGTAATTCTAAAACAAATTAATGCACTGACACGGTTGTCTTTTTAAAGTTCACATATAACCAAAGCAAGTCCTTTGGAAAAATAACCTTCTAGGAGTTGAGATTTTTTTTGTATGAAATTATTTGTGTCATTACATCAAAACCTTTCAGAATAATCAAACTACTAACTTTTTCCCTTCAACTTTCAATCTTTTAAATCTCTTAGCTTTAGAAGATTCTCTTTATACTCTAAAAATTTAGATACACATGGAGTTCTGTCTAAATACTAAAAAATATCTTAAAGTATAAAAATCAAATTAGATTTGATAATTGTATCTTAGGCTATCGTAGTAACAAATACAAAGAAAAAAGGTGATAAAAAGCCTTCGTATTTCTTTTCAAAATGAGAAATAAAGACTCCTTCTGTTCTCTTTCATTTATAAACTTCTCCTCCTTACAACAAACAGACCGCATAAATATATCATTACTGAAACAACTGCTTTCAATCATTTATTTTACTGCAGAAAAGAGAAATATATATTTACATAATGGCTAGCCTCATAATTCTGTTTCTTAGAACACACTGGATATTTGCTTCTAATATTCACTTCTGTTTTCTAAAAACAATCACTTCCAGGCACACACGTACACACACACACATATATACATAAAAAACACTATCGACTTTCAGATAATTTTTAACAAAGAATAATCTTAGGCTTCACATGTGTAGTATTTCTTCCTATCCGAAAACTTCCGTGAGATTTTCTTTATACTGACGCATTACACTGGATAGTTAAAATGACACTGTCACTGTATTTGAGGATGGTTACAAAGAAATACATTAAGAAAAATTAGCTTCACTTGAGTTATGTCCTGTGAGTTTGATGAAGTATTCTAACGCCTTGTCATGAGATACAAAACAAACCCTTATCTCATTTCTCTTGCATGTGTGCAAGAACAGCACTTGCTATTTTGCTGATTTAACCATTAGTTCGTCTTATTTCACCTCACCAGTGGGACAGATGGAAAGACTTCATCTCTTCAGATTCCAATTTAGCAAAAGTGCTATAAAAATTTCAGCACGTATTTTACAAAATAGAACACACTATATGCCATTTTCATTGCAATAAGCAGGAACTTAAGTAAAGTGTTTTGCTAAAGAGTGTCACGGCTCTTTATGCAAATCATTCATTTTCTTAAAAGAGAATGCTGGGAAGGTGTTTAGTAGAGCGGGAAGACTACACTAAAAGTCTACAAAATTCTCTCAGGTTTTAGCAAAAAAAAAGAAATTGTTAATGAAGGAACTGTTCAACATCATCTTTGACATGAAAATTACAGTATCACATGTATGTAGCCAGTGTGTTCATCTATTATACAGCACTTTATATACAGTCTCATGGAGGTTATCTTTTCTGAAAAAGAATATACACATATGCACCTGGATAAAGTTTGTTACCATTACTATTAAGATACCCTGTTCATTACAAAAAGTTTCAGAGGTCTTTTTGTAGGTCTCACTTCAATACCCAATTTTAAAAATAGCCTAGAGAATGAAGTTTTATTACTACTTCCTAATTCCACATTTGTTCAATTAGAATAGTGGACCTTGTGATCACCCCTAGGCTGTCTGATGTGTAACACAAGACTGCGTGATTGCTCTCAGCGAATTAATCCTTCGAGTAAAGTAACTGTACAGAAATTGGAGCAGTTCTTTAAATCCAGTAATTTATTGTGGCAACATTTTCTGTTCCCATCCAACTTCAACAAGTTGCTCCAACAGTAAATTATCCACACTAAAATTCCATACTTTATTTCAAAGTGTGAATTTGTCTAGCTTCAACCCTCAAAACTTTTATTCTCTTCTCTATTAAAGACATTATAGATTTTTTTCCTTTTCTTCAAAACAGCAGATCAAGTCATCCTTAAATGTTTTATCTGATGGGCAAAATAGATAATGCACCTTGAGTCTCTTCAATAATAGAAAACTTCATATCATACTTTAGGAATTCTGATGGCTCTGATTCCTCCTGTTGTCTCTGAATACAGTTCATGAATAGTGAACACTATAAAGAGACAACCGACAAAAGCAAAAATTGCCAGAATGAAATACAGAGGACATATAAGGACATTTTCATTTCTATGCAAAGTTTCTTCTCTAAATAAAAAAAAATACAAAAAAAACCACCACAAAACCAAACAAAAACCCACAAACCAAACACCTAAACTTTCCAGGCAAGGAAAACCTATCTTTTGGCTTATATATCAATTATTACTTGTTCCACCCCTATTTATAAGGGAAATTTAAAATGCTCGAAAACTCCTATCTTGTGAATATGGCCTACTTTTCCTGGTTTTCTACATGTTTTTTTTATTCTTGGTTATATCAGAACACTTATTGCTTGTTGCACCCAGCTCAAAGAAATCCATACCACTCTGTATCAGGGATTTGCCCTCCTCATAAATTACCTCAATCTTTGTATCACCTTGATCAGTGATGATTTTGCATTTTCTTCCAGGTCACTGATAAAATATCCAGTAGTGCAGGGTCAAGAATTAATTTCCAAGGGATGTCAGCAGAAACACAGTAACGATGATTCCCTGTGCACCTCTTTTACAAATTCTCTCACAAAGTTTTAAAATAATCTCTCATCGTGCCTCACTTTAATTTTCGTATGTCATTCTATTTGAAAGTATAAAACATATCCCTGCTTTTTATCACCTCCATGGCAAGAAGGAAAATGAAGAATCACTAAGGATGCAAACAGCTCTACTTACCAAAAAGCACACATTAAATAAAAGAAATGTACCTATACATTTTCTTAAAACCATGTGTGGTTTTATTAATGCAGTCCCATGGAGGAATCTGAGCATACATCCTATTTCAACAAATGAACAGCAACTATACATAAACAAGCAGGCTGTGCATCTGAAGGCACGGGAACAAGTAGACAGTACATCAAAGGAGGAATATCTGAAAACATGTAACAAAATTCCTGTTGATTCTACCTTAGCATTGAGGTCTGTCTGCATTACTTTTGAGGTGATGCCATGCGTTCCTTTTCCACAAGATTCCCACACATGTTACAGTATACAGTTACCACTGTAAAAACAGAAGATGCCCTAGCAAGTGGAAGGAGAATTCAGGTTTCTGCTCTTAACTCCTAGACTAGAAAGTCAGGGTTCTCCTTGCTTACTTTCCTAGACCCACCACATGTAAACTGAAGTTGACCCTGTAAAGGTTCACACTTAAACTGCTTGGTGGCTCAGCAGTTACTAAGTCTTTCTCTGGAGAAGAACCAGGTTTGAAGACACTAAAACTAAAGGATGGAACTGGACCAGTTCTCTCACTTGGTAGGCAAGAGTACCAGGCAATTCTGGGAGGAGGGGGCAACGGGATCTATTGCTCTCAACTGGCACCTCTCACTGTGGAAAAACCTGGCACCCTGCATCAAGTACAGGGAACAACACAATAGGATGCCCTGAGACAGGTGCCTAATTTCATTATTCAGATTCAATGAAAAAAAGACAAAAACATCTTGTTGACTATTGAGGAGAAGGTAGGTCACCAGTTCCTCTCTGGAACTTGATTTGCTGGAGATTTTTTTGAATATAAACCACCCTACAAAAAAACAATTTATTAGGGGGTGGTGGAGGGTGGTGTGAGAAATCGGGGCGGGGGAGGCTATGCAAGACTTGAACTTAAAATAAATACATAAATAAAAATGATATTAAAGTGATTTTAAGAGATCAATATGAATTGACAGGCTACATTCTAGGCAAATTTCCCCCTCCCTTTCTAGAACATAAATCTGGCACAACTATACGCAGATTGTAATTTTATAAAAACTTCATTATTTAGTAATATGTTACATTTAATGCAGTATATTTACAATAAAATGTATCCTAAATTGATGATTATCTTGTCTTCAGACCTGTGCTTTCACACACGCACAGCGCCCTCTAAAAAACAGGCATCACCTCCAATATCATTCTTTACCAAAGAAAATAATTTCAACTGGTTAAAAAGAAAATTATTTAAAGTAAACTGCTTTTGAAAAACAGCTATTTTTAATACTTTTAAAAATCTTATAAGAAACATATTATAACTATTTATTTAATACAGCAAATATTAATAATTAATTAGTTCATGTCAGTTCTGTTCGGCTTTAAGTTAACTGGTCCCTGAACGCTGAAGTCACAGTAAAAGATAAAAGGAAGGTTGATAGACCGGTTATGGTGACTTTAAGGCAATACTGCCACATTTCTTAGCCCTTGGTTTTGTGAATTCTAGTACCTGAGAAGATAAATCAGTGGCTGAAGTTGGGAAGGGGGCAAATGTAAATCAAATCAGACTGTCACTAAGATACCATGCTGCAACCTATAGCTGACAAACAACACACTCCATAGCTGCAACAAAACCCGCTAATGCTCTCACTATGCCTGGCACACCAAGACCACCTCCTATGGCGTTGCACAAAGCCAGCCCTGCATCGTCCTTCCCCTGCTCCATGAGCTCCTCCTGAGCCCCATGGTTCCACTGCTGCCTCAATTCCAACCAACTCGACCAGCATGAACACAGCTCCTTCCCTCTCCACCCAAACCACGGTATCCCTATGAAGTAAAGACAGAGGGGCAGGGTAAAGGGCCCTTACTTTCCTCTGGTCTTTTTCTACAGGACAGTATGTGCCTCCCTTTTGAAGAACTAACGAACAGAATTATATACAAAATCATCAGCTTATAACAAATGAGGGAATACAATCCATTCAAGACCTGTTCCATTCCTAAATAACCAGCTGCATTCACCAAGAAGCTTGCCTTCACATTTTAGCTGACCAACTTATCACAGAGGACTGTTACACATTCTTTTTCACCAGTTAAATGAAAGTTCACAAAATTCTGTGAAGTTTCTCCCACTTGTAGTCTTGACACAAAAATATGGCCAAAACTCTACACTTACATTCTTCCATTTGTTATCAACAGGTTGCAAAAGATTAGCAGCAGATGTTGTTAAAGGTTGGGTCACAGAGTCCTACAAAGAAATGAAAAGAAAGTATTTTAAGCCTTTGTACAAAAAAAAGAAAAACATGGCTAATATCACACAGAAAAGTAGCACAGTTCATTTTCCCACAGTACAGAGACTAGGGACAGAAAAAATGAGACTATAGGAGAGATACAAAAGTACAGAGAATCACCAACATTGTTTCATGGTTTATATACATCAAATAAACACAAGTACAGAAACCAATACCTGAGCTATAAGCACTAATGCAGCAAAAGACAAGTAAGAGCCTTACAGTAAGCACATTTTACAAGATGTAGTCAGGTACTACACAAGAATGCATTCTTCAGTAGCACAGCACTTCAGAAGACTTCAACTTTTGGAATGTGTCTTTATTAAGGACATAATCATTGCTCATCCCCAGGTATGTAACAAGGGACGACAGAGACTGATTGCAAACTTCAGAACAGAATTATTATATTGGAGATTTGTTGTTAAAGCAGTTCTGCAAGTTTTGCACAGAATGAAGAAGTCAGTTCTATTCTAAGAATGTATCATCTTTCTATAGTTATTAAAAAAAAAAAGTCATTAAATATCTGCTGTTACAGATAGAAAATTAAAAATAGAAGGTGTAATACTCTTAATATGCAATTGACATGTCAGTTATTATCTTTCTTCTTCCTTGTTAAACTTCTTGGCATAAGTTTTTAGAAATAAATTTTTTTCTCCCATTTTCTCATACTATTGTATGGAGGTTTTCTTTACTTGTCCCCTCTTCCATGCAAGCAGAGAAGTATGCTTGCAGCACAGGTAACATCACCACACTGCTGTAACATCAATACGCCATGCAAATGTAAAATACTAAGCAAACCAAAACAAGAAAAACAGGGCCAGTCAAGGAAAGCAAACATGAGGCAGTAGGAAGGAATTCTTTCCTATCTTGCTTTTAAGATTAGATTTGTGAATGCAGAAATGTACAAAAAAACACAGAGATTATATGTACTTGCAAGCAAACAGACCACATTAGTCTTTTTTTTATCAATTAACCTGAAAAGACAAATAGTATCTGCCATACAAAAACACTTTATGAAATATAGGAAAAAAAAAATAAAAAAAATAAAAAAGATGCTTCTCCAAACAACACTACTAGACACTTGTTTTCAACAAGATATAGCTGCATAATGAAGCTGAGACTTTAAATTTTAACCCCCCACTTCAAAGTCTGGTATTACTTGTCATCCATTGAACATTAAAGCATAAAAGTTGGAAATTATGCAAAACAGAGTGGAACAAAGGTAGAAAAGGCAGTTCTATTCAAAGAAAAAAAAAGCAGTATGATATATTAAATACGCACTGGATCAAAAAATAAAATAGTCTTATAAAACCTGAAGCATTTTCCGAATTTTAGCTCGCTCTTGTATCTTGGTGAAGAAAAAAAACACATTCAGTGCTTCCAATAAAGCTAAGATTTTTCCTTTATGATCTGTCAAATAAGAAGCTAACTTTTAAAACAAGATATCAGAAATACTCTGAAGAATAATCCACTATGTGTTTATATGGACTAGAATTATATTAAAAACTAATTTCTGAAAATGAGTTGAAATTAATACATAATTTGACTAGTTCTAAATTTTATTCTTCCAGTAAAACTTTCCAATTATTTTCATGTTATCTGAGGAAGAAACCTTTCCTCCTCACACAATCTGTAAGCACCAGAATTATATTTTACCTAGTTGTAGAATTAAGTTGTTGTATTTTCAACCAAACCCTCAAATAGTAATTTTTTTTTTTTTGCATATACTTGGCCAATTTACATTCTGCTAGTATTTGATCATGCAAATCCATTCCAGAAATGACACAAAACTTCTGTCTTTTTAAAGACAGCTACAGGTCTTTTGGTTCTAACCTATCTGAAGAATTACTGGAATTAAGATACAGACTTAATTAAAGTCTTAAAGTCATTTTCACAATACACTGAGCAAAGCTTACCGCCGTAACATGAGATACATCTGTTGAAGCGCTCGCAGAATTCTGTGGACCACCCATGTGCATCTTGCTGATATGTGTATTTAAGCTACCCAAACTCTTGAAGACACAGCTACATTCTGTACAGTTGTACGTAGGGCCATTCTTCACCTTTAATAAAACAAAAAAAACCTAAGCAAATT